CAAGCGGCCAATAGATTTATAATTAATATAGCGTCCTGAGTGTTCATTTGGGACTGATGCGACTCTAGGAACAGGATGTGGAAAGAATGCTCATTACATAATGGCGCCCAATGTGGGGCAAAATTTCCACATAGATCTAACAAAAGCTTAAAAGGGATTTTAGAAACAAAAGAACAGAGACAAGCACAGATTCTTGGTAGCAGCATTTTCTCAGGTGGGCTCTGTTTTGCTAGAGACAAGCAGAGACTTGTGTGGCCAGTGCTGGTGGTAAACTTACGTCCACCATCTAGGAGGCACAACAGTTAAAACAGCCAAGGCTTTCATTTTAGCAATGCTGTTTAGCAGATAAAAGACACATGTCCAGAAAAACAAAGATTTACAGTAAAGTCAGATTCAGATGAAGTAAAACCTCTAAAAGGTTTATAATGTGTTTAACAATATACATAGGCTTGGGGAAAAAAGAAACAAGATAATGGTAGAAAAATAAAATAAAATAAAATAAATAAAGAGAGTAGCTGGGTGTGGTGGCACATGCCTTTAATCCCTGAACTTGGGAGGCAGAGGCAAACAACTCTTTGTGATTTCAAGGCCAGCCTGGTGTACAGAGGGAGTTCAAGGGCAGCCAAAGTACACAGAAATACCCTGTCTCAAAAAAGTAAAAAGTAAAATTAAAAGAGATAGAGTAATAATAAAGTCACATAAAGATGAAAAATACACAGACAGTCCAGATACTGTATGCTATTGTGTTGTCCTTCAGATGTTCAATTGTTAAGGAAGGAACAACAACTAAAATATCCTTAATTATAAATGCTGCTAAATTAATCCAACGTATATATTTTAAAAATCCTTTGAATTCTAAATTTAATTATAAAGACATGTTGCTTGGGAAAAGAGTTTTTGCTTGTGCTTCCACAGAAAATGAAAAGCTGTGAATTCCTTCCAGACTTATATGGTTTGATGAAGCAAGACCCCTGGAAGCAGTGGCCCAGGTGACCCAACATCCCAAGACAGGTGAGACTATGCAGTTACAGACCACTATAGGCAGGATTTCTGGGTCTTCTTAGGATCCCCAAGACAGCGCCCCCTAACAGCAGGAAGTAGCTAGGAGAGAACAACACCCACATTCCCAAATATTGTTTATAAATGTTTGTTTTCATTTATAAAGGGTTGGTTATAAATGGTAGTGATCACAGTCAATCTCTTTCTAAAGGGAAAAAAAGGGAATATGATATAGAAATAAATATTTTGTATTAGTATGAATTTTCATTGATACAGATATTAGGTCAATTCTGTGATATGTATATTTCTCCTCTTGTTTAATCGTTGTGTTTATACTGATCTTTTAAAATGTAATGCATAATTAAATATAGATTGTATACAGTCACCTATACTAGTCAGAACTTACAGTTAGGTTAGTTAGGTTTTCTAGATACACAGAGATGTATTTGAGATGGATAGATATTCTTTAAAGACCCACACAATATATGACATTTAAATGATTTAGTGTTTTTCACGATAGTGAGACACAACTACTCCTGACACACCAATTACATCTGAGAGGAAGATGGTCATCAAAGAAACTCGTTATGGAATTTGTTTTCAACATGGCAAGATTAGCCATTTGGGCACGAAACTGTTCTTGCCTGGACTGTTTGATAGACTTGACATGCAGGACCCATAGGAAAGTGACTGCTAAACTTGATGGGACAGTCTTAAAGGTTCCTGCTTCATGGAAGAGTCTGCTAGGCATTCTACAGAACACACAAAAAAAATTGACTGACAAACTGCCAATGCAGGCAGACAGTTTAAAATTTTCTGCTTTGCTGTGGCCTATGGGCTGAAGATGGATGTCCCAATGTTACAGAGGAACTTCGGGTGACTGTTCAGGCAGCGAGTTACCTCTGTCAATTCTAGTGTTTATATATTATCCTTCTGTGGTCTTTGATGGAGTTAAAGACAGACAGTTGTAGTTTTCCTTAGTTATAATAAAAGATAAACTACATATAAGACTTTAGACTCACACAGATAGGATAGATGATAAAATACTTTCTTTAAATCTTATTAAAGTTAATGAACTAAGTATTGTAACTATAGTTCTTACTTGATAACTATTCTGTTATATATAATTTGACTGTGTTAAAGTTAAAACCTTTCCTTTTATTTAGACAGAAAAGAGGAGATGATGGGGTAAGTCCTTCTGTGTATATGTTTGTCTTATTGGTTGATAAATAAAGCACTGTTGGCCAATAGGGAAGCAAGATAGGTGGGACTAGGAGAGATGGAGGATTCTGGGAAATGGAGGAACAGTCAGTCACCAAATAGGACTCAAGAGGAGTTAAGAGGTCTGTACCCTTTCTCCGGTAAGAGAAGACCATGTGGAAATACTCAGATTAGCAGTTGTGAGTTAATAATTAAGTCAGAGCTAACCAATAAGAAACCATAGAAAACGGCCAACAGCTTAATAATTAATATAGCATCCTGCATGTTCATTTGGGACTGACATGGCTCTGGGAACAGGCTGGAGGAAAGAATGCTCATTACATGCATATTTTTGATATTTTATGACAACTCAATAACCGATAGTTCAAAAGACAAATAAATGATAATATATAAAAGGCATAAATAACACAATATGTTTGGTTTAATCTCTAACTTGATCATTACAAGCCATATGAGAATATGAACACTTTTCTGAAGGAAATACAAAAATTTTGAATGTTTCTTACTTTACTAGCTACAAAATCAGTCTCAGAAAATTCTAGTAAGTGTGTGCAACCCTGGCCCACAGTAGTTATGGCTGCAACTCAACACAAAATAATAAGCTTACTGAAAACCTTATGAGAAACTTTTTTTTCTTTGCAATTTTTTGTAACTTGACTGTGTGGTAAACTTTATTACAATGTCAAAAGTTTGGATACACCTATTATAGTCAGCATCACAGTCCCTGAATAGAGGACAAAATTTTAAACTCATAACTTCTGCAAAAATCTCATCATGGGAAATTCAAAGGCATGTTTAGGTTACCTCATGGATGGAAAAGAAAACCCTAATGAAAATCAGAAATTATTTTAAGTTCCAACCATTTTTCATATGGAGAAATGGACAGTGCAGTTTACCACCGAGAGAGCTAGCTGTTTGATTTGAGCAAGACAGCTGGCTTAGTCCATCAAAAGCCAACTGGTTGAATGGCCAGGTAACCAAATGCCAAATACACAGAAAACTAAGCCCTTGAGTATCAGTTTACCCAACAAACCAATCTGAACTACAGAGATTTTTTTTAATGTTTTCCATTTCTACTCCATCCCTTGCCTACAAGCAGAGTTCATGTGAAACTGTTGAGATCACACTGGAGCCACTTAGGTAAAACTCACAGAATCACTTACGTCAACCACTGACAATGAAGTCGAGAAGCCATGGCGATTTCCTCACACATATTTGCTGATAACAACAATGGCCACAGAAGATTGCCAAGACTACAGCCTTACTACACAAAGGCCATAGTAACCTTGTAGGGAAAAGTTCTTCTGCAAAGGATGCCCACTCAGCAAGTGCCTGTTCAGAGTCGGCTAGTAACACCTTATTGATCCTTATTGATCATTAAAGCTAAGGACAACATGTCAAAACAACTCTGCAACCTTGGTCATGTTTATCCTTAAAAAAACAAAGCAAAAACAAAAAAACCTTTGCCTTCTCTTACCTCCCTGAATGTAATCATGGTTTGTCATGGTAACATACACCCAGACTACAACCCCTGTCATTTGTTGTAAAATCTTTAACCTGGAGACATAAGGCTGGAGTAAGGGCAAAAAGCAGCCAAAAGGGTAATGGGTAGGAAGCAGGTTTTTTTGTTTGTTTTGTTTTTTTCCACAACTTTAACAACTAGCTATTCAGTGAGTTTGATGATGGCCAAGAATCTACAAATGCTGCTTCAAGCCCAGACAAGAGGAGGACTTTGCATACTGGAAATTGTGTCTTTCTTTTTTTTAAATGTTTTAATTTGAGAGGACTTTAAGGCCTAGGGAATCACGGGTCGTAGGCTTCGGCCGAGGACTTACCCTGAGATGCTACTGAAGATGAGAATGAACTTTTCAGTTTGCCTTTTCCGCGTTCCGGTCTTGTCGTTGGAGTATGAAGGAGGAAATTCACTCAGCTGTGCCGAGCAGTAATAGTTAGTGGTCTCTGCTCACTTGTTCCCGCCAAGGTGACATCCTCTGTTGGGATACAAAGCCAGTGGAGCTAATATAGGCCGGAATGGTAAAGAAGAACTACACTGGGGTAGCTAGGCAAGAAATCTGCTTTCCTCAGAATATCGCAGACGAGGGGACTCTGCTGCAGGCTTCTGGGGGAGCAGGGGGGGGGGCGCTAGTCCTGGGCGCGGTGGCCTCTGCTTCCGAATTCGGCTCCAAGCGACCTGTTTCACAGAGCAGTCGAAGTTCCACAGCCTTCTCTTTTTGAGTTTAATCCCACATACTGTGCCGGAGCTCCTCCAGGAAGGGAAACGAGCCTCGAGGTGCTCAACCTAAGGCCTGCGCTTGCACCTCCTAAGGCAGTAATAGCACAAACGAATCCAGGGATAGTTGGTCCCACACTTAGTCCATACGTGACACATATATTTATTAAGTCTGCTATTTGTCAGGAACTACTGGGGCTGCCACCATCAGCAGGCAATACCAGCAAAGTCACCCAATATGTGATGACTCAGGTCGATGTGGCTATGAGCCACTAAGCCACTCAGGGTCGGGTCTATACGACTGCAACCTATGGGAGAAACCGGCTTCTTATCCACGCATCTCCACCTGGGACCTGCACAGGACGCGCTCAGAAAGCGCCGGGTGCCAGAAGCAATGCACTAGTGGTGCACGGATGTCTGTAAGGGTGAACGGTTGTTTGCACCTGAGCATGCGCAGCCGCAAGCCTGCTAGGACGTAAGAGGACTACAAGCAGGGTCACTGAACCTGAAGAGCCGGAGGTGCGCGGGGCGGAGCAGTAAAGAGCGCCCCCGCCCCACCCCCTTGTAGCCACGTCCCGGCCACGGAGCCCTCTGGGAAGTGTAGTCTGCGCCTGCGTTGTTATCGCTGTGAGGCCGGGGGGCTGCGGGCGGAAGCGGGACCACCCCCTCCCGGGATGCGAGCTGCGGGGCCGACCCAGGCGAGCCAGCACTGCGGCTCCCCGCGCGTCCCGGTTCCCAGCCCCGCCTCCTATCGTGTAAAACTGGGCCGCTGTCCTCGAGGGTCTCGAGGGTCTCTGTGCAGCCTCCTGCCTGAGCCGCGCCGGAAGCTGGGTGGGCCAGGGAGTCGCGAAGCTGAGTTCCGCCATGGCGCTCCAGGTAAGGCGAGCCGTTGTAGACCGATGGACGCTTCGGCTGCTTTTCTCGGTGCAGTGCGGCCCCCGGGCGACGGGCCTGAAAGGGAGCCGATACCGCCGACTTTGAGCTTGGGTGAGCCCAGCCAGGCCAGCCAGATGCCCAGGATTCCCCGACCAAAAGTCTAGTGCTCTCCCTTCCCCCAGGACCTGGAGCTTTTTTCCTATCTGAGGAACTCATTCCTCAGTACAAGATATCATGAGAGGGTGTGCATGATCGAGGCCTCGGCAGGATTTGAGGGGATAACTAAATCCGACATTTACTTTTGTTAAGATGTGCAATCGCGGGGAGTGGGGCCAAGAAAGTAGGGAGAAAGAGAACAAATCCAAGTTGTGCTGCTAAAATGTGGCAATCCTAAAACTGGAAGAAGAACTTATCTGCTGTTGTGGCGTAGGCACAGTTTTGGCAGGGTCGTGAGCTGTGAAAAATGCTGCACTGCCTTATGGGTAGACACCCAGAGTCAGATGTGCAATGTTATGTTGCCCATGAGCTTTGGCCAGACTTAGGCAGCTGTGTTTGGGGTCGTGGCTAGAACAGCGTGTGGCTAGACATCACTAGTGCCCCCACAAATGTCTTGGGAGAAACAGTAAGTAAGGTAAATGGGATTGTTGCCTGGTCCGGGAATATCCTTTGCAGCTTAGTCTGAAGGCAGCCCAGGCTCTTCCTCAGAGATGCTCCCTGGCCCCATCCTAAAGACTGGCTCTTTGGGTTTCCGTTCTGTGTCCGGAGGGAGTTGGGCCACAGATCTCTCAGACCCGATGTTTATGGGAGGGATGCGTCCTCATATCGTGTAGTTGATGGTCGGGCATGGTCTCTGGGAATGCAGGAGGGTCACAGTCTGATGGAGAGGAGGCATAGACTGAGTTAGACAGACCGATCCTGTGAGTGCTGAAACTGCAGTTTCTTGCAGAGACTGACACAGTACAAGCAGTTTTGTTTTGTTTTTTTAGGAGGCCCATCATGGCAGCTATGAGCCAGAGAGGTTGGTTGATCCTCTACAGTGGTCCTTGTTAGCTCCAGAAGCTTTTCTTCTGATGGTTGGGTGCGGGAGCCTAGGTGGCAAGCTGGTTGTAGAGGTGTCTTCCTGAAGTCAGTCTCCCTACCCCTTCCTTCTCCCACCCCACCCCCCCAACACACACTATTCACTCTTCACATTTTATCTTTATTCGTTTATTTATTTTGAGGACGGGGTCTCGAGTGGCTGAAGATGACCTTGAACTTCTGATCCTCCTACAGCCACTTGGCATTATGGGCACATGGTGCCATATCTGGCTTGTGTGGCCCTGGGAATCATCCCAGGACGTGCACACGCTTTACCCATCTGACTGGCATCCCTAGTTCCACATCGTCCGTTCGGGAAACCTCGGAAGGGAGCATACCCCCAGTCAAATTAAGATCTCATTCACATTGTATTAAAAAACAAAAACAGAAACGTTGCCAGTGAAGGCTTCCCTTTTGAGGTTAGGGTGGAGAGGGGCCTGGGAAATATCCAGAACGCAAAGGACTAAAAGAGCCAGATATATATTTAGCCTCGAGATAAAGAGCTTCACACACACACAAAACTCCCCCCCCCTCCCCCTCAAGTTAGGAATAGTGTATAAAAGAGCCTGAGGTTAGCAAGCTATGTTCGGTAGACGGGTATTAAGCAGACAGACTTACCTGCAGTGACACCAGCCACAGCACTTCATATGCCCCAGCATATTATTCTAGACATTTTTTTCTGTACAATATCCCCATGATCACTATTACAAATGAGTTTCCCGAGACTCAGCTGGGTCTTTGGCTGAAGTCTCACAACTAATATGGGTGTCATTCACTTATGGTTCTCAAGAGGACCAACTTTTGTGAGTCTCAAGCAGACCCACAAAAAGACAAATGATAAGAATGCTGGAGTTTGCCAACATACTCCAGATTTTGCCTGTTAGAAACTTACTTCCCGGTGTCGTGTTCATGCTTTGTGGGTTACTGAGGGAGTAGCCTTGTTTAAAAGGCCTTCCTGGCTTTACCATGGGATGTCCCCCCCATCAAACTGTCTGGACTATATAATGTGGCAAGGAGGCCCTCAACCATCATGGCCCCTTCACCTTGGACTTGCCAGCATCTGCAACTATAAGAAATCAACGTATCTGCTTATAAATCACCTCTTCTCGGGTATTCTGTTACAGTAGCAGGAACAGGCACATACAGAGAGGAAACCAGTGGAAACTGGAGCTGACAAACGGAAAACACATGAAGGAAGATACAGCTGTAGAATATCTGGCCTGTCTTGCTTGTATGACTATATTAAAATACCTAACATGGACCACTTATAAAGAACAGAGATTTTGACTGCGTGTGGTGGAGCTTGGCTTTAATGCTAGCACTTGGGAGGCAGAGACAGCCGGATCTCTAAGTTTAAAGCTAGCCTGACCTACATAGTTCCAGGACAGCTAGTACTGCAATAGTGAGTGAGACCCTCTCTCAAAAAGCAAACAACTACAAAACAGATTTTTTTTTTTATTCTTTCATGGTTCTGACTGCTGAGAAATTCAAAATCAAGGGACCAGTGTCATCTGGCAAGGATTGTCTTGATGCATGGGTTGGCTACTTTGCTGGTTTATCAGACCAAACACCCAGCAGAAACACCGAAGAGAAGCTAGGTTTATTTGGGCCCATGCTTTCAGGGGATTCAGTCATGGTCATTTGACCCCTGTAGTTGGGCAGAACCTCATAGCGGCAAAGTGTGTGTTCTCCAAGTCTTTTTTTTTTTTTTTTTTTTGGTTTTTACGAGACAGGGTTTCTCTGTATTGTTTTGGAGGCTGTCGGTCCAGCCCAGCCTCAAACTCACAGAGATCCGCCTGCCTCTGCCTCCCGAGTGCTGGGATTAAAGGCGTGCGCCACCTCTGCCCGGCAATGTGTTCTCCAAGTCTTGATGATTGGGAAATGGGAGTGTGACAGGAAGGAACCAGGAGTACTACACCCCCAAAGGACCCACCTCCAGTGACGTACTAGGACCAACTCCTGAAGTTTCTATAACCTTCTAAATAGTTCGGCAGGCAGGGAACACATTTTTTAAGACATGAGCTTGTGTGGGTGGGGGTGGGATGCTCCACCAGTCAGCCAGTGGCACTGTCTTCCCACAGTGGAAGGCAGAACAGAAAGAAGAGGGCTGAACCCATCCTTTCACCAGAAAGTGACTTCCCCAGACGATGACCTTAATCTATGCATGACCTAACCACTCCTGTGCCTAGAGTGAACCCTGCATGGGGTGCGGGTAGGGGGGGCGGGGCGTCAAGTGCTAAAGGGGAGCCGTCTCATAGAGGTGCTGGACAAGCTTGACAGCTGGCGGCGTGGAGCTCTGGTAGCCTGAGCCACACCGCAGTCAGTGTAGGTCAGATTACGCATGTCGTATGGCTAAGGCCAGGGACCCACAGCCAGCCAGTCCTTCCCTCTTGCTGGACTCAGTCTGCAAACGTATGCTGTCCTGTGGGGGCACCCTTCCTTCTGGCAGGGTCTGGAACAGTTGGCCAGGTTCCAGTCCTTGAGGTTGCAGGCCCCATTGGATCATGCTTCTCCGTTGCCATGACCTGGTCACCCTTTCTGGTGGCTGGTTTGTTCTTGTTTCCCTAGCTATCACAGGGAGAAGGTTGGACTATAAACAGGGGCTTCTATTCTTTTGGCTCTGTGATTCCTCCCTTCTCGATGATGAAACTTCCCTGATTTCCCCCAGAGCTGTGTATCTACTTAGTGCAACTTAGGCGGTAGCTGTTCATATGTCATAATATGTATGACTTTTAGAGGGTGTGCTCGCTCATCACAGTAACATCTGGGCATGTTTAAACAGTGACTAACATGTATAAGCAAAACATGCCTATTTGGTCTGTAGGAGGCAGGTGCATGCACATTTGAAACCTGAGCCTATTTGTCATAGACCTGGGGGTCTGTAGCTCACACATTGAGGACCCAGCAGCTTCTTTCTATTCTACCAGGCAGCCTCCATGGCTCCCAGCCGTTGGCTGATAGGATACCAGAAGGCAGAGGTGGAAGGGGGCAGAATTAGAAGGGACAAGAGGACAGAGGATAGAGCTGTAGCAGGGATGCCAGAGGCAAGACCAGGAAGCAGTGGGTTGAATTCAGGGGCGAGGGGGGGGTTATAAGGTGGCCAAGTGTAATGGGGTCCTCTGGTGGCGTCCCCAAGGAAAGGCCTCTGAGGCTTAGAGATGCCCATGAGAATTCAGGCCTAGCAGGTAGTTAGACTCACAGCTAACAAACATCTGACAGATTCAGCAGATAGCAAAGACGCATGGGGGCAGGGTTAGAGGAAATCTGAGGGCAGCTTTCTGAGGCCTCCGGTGCAGTTACCAAGATGCGCTTAGCTCCCCCAGCATAGAGGTAAAATGACCTGTGTGGAACGCCCCACTGGGGGGAACCTTGCCAGAAACTCTACACCCAGGATTGTTGCTGAGAACAGGCTGCTCGGGCGCCTTCTGCTGGCATCTGCCCCAATTGCAGCACAGACTGTATCTCACAGATTAGCCACCGTGTTAACCAGTTAACTGCTAATCGGTTAGGTAGAAACCCATTTGAGATGCACATTCCCAGGTGCCTGCCTGAGTCTACCTGGTGCTAGGCATTTCGAAGGACAGCAGTGGCGGGCCTGTTCCATAGGCTCTTTAGTATGGAACCTGAGATTGTCCACATTTTATGTGCTAGGGGACCAATAAGAAATGCAAAATGGCTCCCTGCTAGAGGTTTGTGGAGTATCTGAGGTGTTCCTGAGGGATAGTGGGCCGGAGCCACAAGTTAAGCTTGGGGAAAGGAGGCTGCTGAGTTGCCCAGCAGGCTGTAGAGATGGTTGGGAATGCATGGTGAGCTAAAAGGCAAAGAACACTATCTCTGATCCCTTCTGGACTCCTGGCTGCCAACAATCACTAGAGATGCAGTCCCTGGCCAGATGTGTTACTGGAGCCTAACCACTTCAAAATGTCAGGACTCTAGGTGTATGAGCCTAGCGTATGCAAGTAGTAGTGGCTGTCAGCTGTCAGGGATGCCAGGCAGAGAGAGGGTGGCAAGGCTGCCAGTCAGTAGCAGAGACTACTAAAGTCACCAGCTTAAACACGTGAAATAGGTGGTCGACTCTCTGCTTTATTAGACGTGTCCCCATTTTCTTCATAGTTCCTTCTTGCAGATCACGCTTGTCTCTAACCTAGACGGACTCTTTCCATAATTTGCATTCTATTTGTGTCACTCGCATGGTTAATTTCTGCCATAATCTAAGTTCCTGCTTGTCAGATGTCGGTCATTGTCTTGAGCTTTCATGGCCATTTTAAAGTCCGCTGAATGATGACGTTTTAAGGAAACTAAGCAATGTTGCTTTTATCTTACAAAGCCACAGGGCTCAGGAAGGAGATGAGCATAGCAGATAAAGGTGTGAGGTGCGGACATAAAGAAGTACGCTCCTGGGCTTCTGGGTTTCTTCTGAGTCCCTAAGGACTACCCTACAGGGTTGGCAGCAGCGGGAGGGGCAGGGCAGGGAGCATGGTGAGACGGTGGGGCCTCCAGATGGGCTCTGTGGCCCTCACTTCCCGCTGTATGTCCCTGCTGCATGCATCTGGTAGTAGGTGTCACAGCTCTTCGTGCTGGAACTGACCACAGCTGTACCAGGGTTTGTGGAGCATTGAACCCTTGCAGGGCAGGTGGAAAAGTGAAGGGACTGGAAAAATGAAGGTGGGTTCTGCCCATCAGCTAGGAACCTGGACCAGGCTGGAGTCCGACATCAGGGGCCCTAAGCATAGGTCAGGCCTAGGAGTACCTGGCTCGCCTGCTGCCTGACAGGCAGGTGAAAAGGGTCAGTCTCCTTTATATCTTCAGGCCTTCATGAGGTGTTTTTTTGTTGCTGGTCTTCCCCCTACTGTTTGGGGGTGTTTAATTTATGTCATCCCTGCTGAAGAGCAGAAAGTGGGATTTTTCTTTGCTGTGCAGGTTGATTAACCCTAGTCTAGAAACCTGAGCTGGAATGCTCCAAAAGGCAAAACTTTAGAGCACTGTGATGCCCCGTGTGCAAAAGTCCACATCTGAGCCCCTGTGATCGCTTGCAGTCAAAATGCAGGTGTACTAAAAACACTGTAAAAGTTACCGTTGGCTAGGTGGATAAAGAGCAAAATATAAATGAATTTCTTGTTTAGACTTGAGTGCCATCTCTAAAATAATTCATTATGTACAGGAGAACATTCAAAAATCAAATATTCAAAACACATCTGACCCCAAGAATTAGGGATAAAGAATGCTAGACCTTGGTAATGAGCTGGTTTTATTAGTAACTTGATGATCTCCTCTCAGTGCTGGAGGTCCAGGTCCTCGGGCATCACAACAGATAGGGCTGGCTGGATACTAAAGGATGTAGTTTCGTCTTCCCCGGCTACACCTATGGTGACCTTGTTTCTAAGATGCTGCTGGTAGCACATCTTCTCTGGGCGCCTAGCAACCTGCAGCACTGTCCCGGGCCAGGTCCCACCCGTGTCTGCACTGCCTGCTCCCAGTGTCTACCAGGAGACCCACGTGCTCGCTCACTGAGCTAAGGGACAGTTTGGGTGGGCCTCGTTGGCATGGATGCAGCCAACCCCCCCGGAGACTGTGCCCACAGGTGCCCATCAGCTTCAAGGACTTGGCCGTGCGGTTCTCTGAAGAGGAGTGGCGGCTCCTGCAGGAGGGGCAGCGGGAATTCTACAGAGACGTGATGCGGGAAAACTACGAGACGTTGGTGTCTGTGGGTGAGGGCCCGAGGCCTCCAGAGTGTGGGTTGCAGGGACAGAAGAGGGTAGCAGTGAAGGAGGCCAGGGTCCATGCCCAGGGGTCTTGAGTCTCTGTGAGACGCTAGGCTCCTCCGGGCCTCGGCCTCCTCAGCTGTGGATTGAGTAGGTTTAGGGGAGTGTTCAGAGCTTGAGGCTGCCCGGGCCTCACTTTCCTTTGTTTGCTTCTGTGAGCCAGAGTGGGGGTCTGGGTGCAGAGCTTTAGGGGTGTATGGTCTTTTGAATCTGGTGGCCACAGGAACGCGTAGAGAAAGCTATGCATAGATAAGCAGTCATCTGGGCCATCACATGACTGGGAGGGTAAAAGCTACTCAGTTCCCAGAGTAACTGCTCCTTCTTTCCCCCAGGGACCTCTGAGCTGCTTCCTCTCTCTGCTTTCCTGTCACCCACAGAGCCTGGAGGAGCCACAGCGGGAGAGAGCCACCATGATAAGGGACAAGAACCCCCACTGGAGCGTGGCTCCCAAGGTAGGATACACACACACACACACACACACACACACACACACACACACACACACACACACACACACACACACAGAGACTTGGAGCCCTTCCTTCTAATCACGGCTTTCAGCCCCCTAGGTTCTGCCCCTCAAGCGACGCTTTGACTTCAGCTAATTCAGTCCAGGCGTCCTTGAGTCTTGCCCCTTCTTCCCGTGGGTGTAGGCTCATTTCATGCAGTCCAGGTTGTGGAGAAATGCTCAGGGTAAGACCTGAGGTCACGCTGGAGAGAACCTCTGCCTCCACCTCCCCACCACCACCACCACCCAGAGCCAGTCTGCAGCTTAGACAGTAGAGGTGGCTCCTGGGGCCCAGAGGGAGTGAGGAGAGGTAGAAGAAGGCCAGGCGGAGCCGCGGGACCCTTCAGTGTTGCTCTTAATGGAAAGTAGACAAGAGTAACAGCACAGACCCCTCCTCCTCCGCTCAGCCCTCCATTCTGAGCCGTTTGCTCCCTTTGGCTGCTCCATCTGTGACTGAGAGGGCTCCTGAGAAGCTAGGGCCCACACACCTCTCTCTCCACAGGAGGGCAGCCCCAGCAGAGCCTACACCTCACCGCCTTAGTGCAGCTGGTAAAGGAGATTCCAGAGTTCTTGTTTGGAGAAGTGAAGGGCACGGAGGACTTCTCCGAGAGTGGGAGCGCCAGTCTGGATGGGGAGCAAGCGAGCCCTGAGGGTAAGTCACACAAGCCGCAAGAGTGCCTCCACTGCCGTCCACAGTGCTCGAGCCCAGCTGCCTCCCAGCTCGGCCCCTGACCTACCTCTCTGGGTGCTCATCCTCTGAGGTTGTTTTAGGACCTGGTGGGTGTGGGAACAGCTCGTGCCGTCTCTCAGCGTTTCTGTGTCCAGCTGCCCAGTGGCCCCTCCCTGTTGCCTTGCACTTGCATGGCGGATAGCAGCGTGCTTGTCCCTGTTTAGCAGATGCGGAACAGGAGAGAAGCTGAGCCTCGTCCAGATAGCCCGTGGGGCTTAGGTCCTATCGCCAGCCTTTCTCTTTCTGCTGCACAACGTAGATGTTAAGTTCAGAGTTCAACAGTGGCAGTGAATAGGTCACTGGCTCCTGGCTGGTTGTTAGCGAAACATGCCAGGGAAAGCACTGACTGTGGTGACTGTGGTGATGTCAGGACCGCTCACCAGTTGGCGTCTTCTCCATTTCCCAACAGTAGCTGGGGCTGTGGAAGCTCACCCTCCCCGAAGCCTGCTCAGCTCTCTTCCAGAGAGCCCCGAAAGCCACCCCAGCCTGGCCACCACACCCACAGGCAGCTCATCTTCCAGTGGCCCTCCTGGAGACTGGGCTCAAGAAAGCCCCCTGCCTACCAGTGAGTCTGACCCAGTGTGCACAGGGACACCCAGCACTGCAAAGGCCTAGACCTGGAATCCAGCCTTGAACCCTGGGCCCTCCTCACTTTCTCTGGCTCAGCTTCCTCGTAGCTGACTGGAGACAAAGGTGTCTGAATAGTGAGAAAACACACTTGGCCTCTGGGGCAGACCAGGTGATTTGATGCTCAGTTCCAGATGGCCTGTTCCTGTGCTCATCACTCAGGACTCACAGAGAGCTCTGTGCCGTTCCTAACGTACAAGCCAGACAGGTCACTTACCTGGTTTCATTCTCAGACTGCCTCAAGCAAAGCCAGCAGCAGGGAAGCAATGTTGGTCACTAGAGTTTCTCTGGGGTCTCAGTTTGTCTTCAAAAATACTTCAAAATTGTACTTAATTGAATGTTTTGTTTTGTTTTTTATTTTTGGTTGTGAGCCTAGACTTTAAGGGCCAACCCATCTCTCCAGCCCTGTTTTGGTGTTTTATTTTAGAATATTTAAAGGAATAAAGATTAAAATGGACACTGCCCAAAAATGTACCCCAATTAGCCTGTGGTTCCCTGTGCCATCTGCCTTACAAGCCCCACCTAAGAAGCATGAGTACAGCTGGAGGTGGTGGCACACACTTTAATCCCAGCACTCAGGAGGCAGAGGCAGGTGAGATCTCTGTGAATTTGAAGCCAGCCTGGTCTACAAAGCGAGTTCCAGGACAGCCAGGGCTACACAAAGTAAAATCCTGTCTTGAAAGGGGGAAAACACACACACACACACCAAAAAGAAGAAGAAAAAGCATGAGTACAGAAATCCTGGCCTGTGTTGTAGCTGTAGGCTTCATTAGCTGACCGAGATTTGGCGACTGGGGTCAGGGAGAGGGTCTGGAAACATATGGCATGAACAAGTCATGATATTTACAGCTAAGCTGGAAGAAAACAGGGAACAGCCTCCAACCCTCCTGGAACAAGTCCTCCAAAGATAACCCCCAACACAAGGCTAATGTCTAGGATGTGGGAGACTCTTAAAGGGCTGGAGGGTTAGAGTGGTCTGTCCTCTTGGGGGACAGATCTGGGGTGATCCAACACGGCTTTCTTTGTGTTTTGCACTAGGAACTGCTGATAAGCCACTGTCCATAGAGAAAGAAGGCTTAGGAGCCTCAGGAGAGACTTCCGTTCATCCCACCCAAAGCCTGGACCAGAGCAAGAGCCACCTAACACAAGACAGAGGTAGCCCAGGAACAGGTGAAAGGCCGGCTTGCTGGGGTTGAGCAACCTAGAGCTGAGTAGGGTCAGAGAAGATCACGGCACTATCTCATCTGGACTTCATGACAACCCTATAGGACAGTGTTTTCAACCTTTCTAGTTCTGTGACCCTCTAATACAGTTTTTCATGGTATGGTGACCCCCCCAGCCATAAAATTGCTTCATTGCTACCTCATAACTATGATTTATTGCGCTACTGTTAATGAATTGTAATGTAAATGTCCAATCTGTGACCCTGAAGGGGTCACAGCCTACGGGTTGAGAACCAGTGCTGTGAGATAAGCCTCATGTGTTTGTATGGGTGACTCCCAGCTGCCTCGAGATGGCAGAGATGGCCAGGAGATGGCCGAGGGTCTTGTGCTGCCCATCAGGACTACAGTGACCTTAGCTTCCTTATGTGTGCACAGGAACCTCCCCCGAGAACAGTCCCTTGCAAGGCCTCATCAACTGTCTGAAGGAAATCCTTGTGCCTGGACCCCAGCACCGTGGGACGGCCCCAGACTTGCCACCTTGTCTCCCTGGCCTGAGTGTGTTGAAACAGACCAGAGCTGAGGTGGAGTCAGGGAGCCTGCCCTGCCCCGGTGAGTCCCTGGGCGCCTGGCCTGCTCAGACCAGGGTCTTCAAAGCCCCTGGAAAGTTCAAATTGCCATTCACAGCTATTGCTGTTTTCCGTGCTGTCTCCTGTGAGATGACCGCTTTGGGTGCTCCTGTGTCCCCAGGGTCAAGTGTCTGAAGCCCAGTGACTTTCAAGGATAGGAGCAGCAGACTTTATTCTGTTCCCCTCACTGGTCTCTGCTTCTTCTAATGTGGGACTCTGCTGAGGAGGACTTTGGTGCTCAGATGTCACTTTTTCAAGAGACATGAATGAGGTGTCAGTGGACACCGAGGTCTGCCTGAGGTTCCCCCCCAAAGGCTGCTGAAGCTTTGAGCTTTGGTCTTGCATCTGTAGAGGAGGACGGCTGTTTGCGTCCTCCGGGCCGAGGTGGACTTAGCTACAGAATCCCTCTCGTGTATAACCATCCCATGTGTGTGTCAAGGCCTAACGCACCGTGACGCTAAGTTGCACTCAGAACTCAGAACCTGCCAGCCTCCGACCATCTTCAGTTTGCACCCGAGTGACAGCTGTGCCTAGGTGCTGCCCACCTAGCAGGTTTACAGGTCCTGGTTTCTGGCCGTGTGCTGCTTGGAATGCACCCCAGGACAGACCTTGTCTGTCGTCCGCCAGGAGACGGAGGACACTGAACTTAAGTGAAATATGTGTCTTTTCCCTTAGTGAAGACGGAGGCAGTATCCGGGGATTGTCCCCTTCAGGGCCTGCTGAACTGTCTGAAGGAGATCCCAGAAGCCCCAGACAGGCGTCCCAGCCCCTCAGGAGCAGGGGACCTGCGGCTACAGGAGGATCCAGGGAAAAGGAATTCTGGAGGTAAAGGCCATTCGCTGCATCAGTGGTGGGGGAGCTAGATATAATGTCTTTGATTTCCCTGCTCCTAGTACAGCCGTGTGTGACCGTTCACGACAAAATTGATGCCCTGTGTTAGCATGTTGGTCAGACAACCCCATGCTGGATCTCGTCACTCTACAAGAGCAGAGTGACGAGGTAAAAGAGCTAAAAGAACTTTCTAGAAGGGATGCTGGGGAGGGAGAAGGAAATGAAATAGAAGGCAGGAGTTTCAGCACAGTAGACCATAGTTGTGACTGGGGGTTCCTGCCGTCCTGTGTTCAGCTAGGTTCTATGGCTGGAGGATGGAATTCCCAGCATATGTTTGGACTGGGATTCTTTGTCAGCTTATTAATAAGCTTGTGTTCCCGAGGACATGGCCTTGAGAGGGTGGGGTTGAACCAAGCCTGCCACATGAGGAGCAAGATCCGATTTGTTGCTGACTAGGGAGGGGTTCACTTTGAACGTCCCTTAGAAAGCTCCCGAGCACCCCAGAGGCCATAGGGGTGTTCCTTGGATCTGTGCTTGAAATTGAGAGGTGGTCATACCCAGAGCCAGTGACTGCTCTGTAGGCAGAGGAGCCTTGGAAGTCCCTCCTAGCCCTATAAAATGGAGCTCCCGAGACTTGGGTTGAGTCTAAGCCGAAACCAGGGCTTCCCACAGCCATCACCTTTCTCACAGGGATGAGGTGCCCCCAGACTCCTCCTCTCCGCCGTAGTCAAGGAGCTGGAGGTATGCTTGCCATGGTGAAGGTAGAAGATGGCTGGGCCCAGAGTCCCCCAGTGCCAGCACCCTGCCAGCTCAGCAGGCAAGGCCACAGTCCCTATTTCACCGGAGATAGCAGAGAGGTCCGCGTGCCCCGCTGGGGTCCCATGACGCTCGGTAAGTTCTGGGTTCCAAAGCCCACAGGGAAGTACCTGCTTCTCTTTAGGCCAAGGAGCCTTTGCCTTGCTTCAAGTAGTTCCATCTTAGTCCGTGTTCTCAATCCAGGCCCATGCCCAGGCACCCTCTGGTTTCAGTACCTTCTTTCTACAGTAGGTCCTGGCTGTGACGCTGGCCCCGGCATGCAGGTGGCTCCTCCACCCTTCTCCTCAGAGTTGGGGGCAGCTTCAGTAGAAGCAGAAAGCACATTCCGAGTTCCTCACTGGAGGATCTCCTGCTTAGCAGATCCCTGGAGCCTGCAGTAGAAGTCAGGCTGTGGGCCGGCCGGCCAGCCAGCCAAGGGCCCAAGCTGGGGTCTGACAGCAGGCCAGGGCCAGCAAGAGAAGATGACAAGGTGGCCTCTCTTGTCCAGCAGGCAGGGCATCAAGCTCACCTCTAGAAGCGCTGGAGGCCTGTCTGAAGGGCATCCCTCCAGGTGGGTCATCACCTCTTCAGTCTCTAGCCACCTCGTGGTCCAGGAGTCCCCAGCCAGGAGAGGCTGGGTCTCAGAGGCTTGAGCTACAGCCACAAGGATCTCACAGTGAAGGTACTTGGGCTCAGGCTGACAGTTACTCCTGTGCACAAAGTGGAGGGAGGGAGGTGCTGAGGGCACCATCCGGTCACCCTCTCTGGGCCTCCCCGAGTATGCGCCCTTCTTTCTTACCTGCTTCATGCCCTCCCCCAAAGACCTGTCCAGGCTTGGTGAGAGCCACATTGTACCCACCCCCTTCCCTGCTCTGAGGACTTCTTATTCCCAAAACTGTGGGGCGGGGGGAGGGGGGGTGGAGGGGCAGGGGTAGGTGTCGAGTAGACTTTTCATCAGTGCCATGGGAAGCCCTGGAAGGGGAAGGGTTCCCTGGGCTGGTTCTTCTGGTGCCATACACTCTAAGGCTCAAGGACTTGTCTGGCTTGCTTTGCCTTGACCCAGTTATACTTCTTTCTGCAGAAGCTACAAGAGAACCATTTCTGCCTCTGAGCTTGCAAGGCTGCAGGAGAGAGGGACCTGGGGTTCAACCCTCTGGCCCCCAGGGAACACCTACCAGCTTCTCCTCGGCCAGCAGCAGTGATGGGGATCTGGATTTCGGGAGCCCCAGGAGCAGTCAGGGTCAACGGCTTGGGAAAGGTGAGCTGGCCCGGCCTGAGGTTGGAGTCCTCTGGGAAGGAATACATTGGTCCTTACCCACTATCATCTCTGCCCCAGTGCCAGAAGAAGAACTTGGTATACCCAAGTAGAAACAGATCCAGGACTTGTCTTGGGAGCACGAGAGGGGGGTCTGTTGCAGTAGCTTGGCTCAGAAAGGATAGGACAATGGCTGGCAATGTGTCCTTAGTTTCCCTTATGTTAAACACTTCTCTGTCTCAGAATAAAAGAAGTGTCTATAATACTAAATGACCTCCAACTTAGGGAAAATAGAGTGAGGATCTTAGAAAACAAGATCTGTACTCAGTAACCTGTGCCTCCCTAGGCCCTGCTTTAAAAAAAAAAGTCACTCTTAGGGATTTTGGGGTCTTCTGGTCTCTCTCAGCGTTTCCCTTTGCCTTTCCTCTTGGAACAATCATGTCTGCCTCATCCCATGGGTGGATGCCCAGTGGTGCTTCTGCCCAACTGTCCCCTGGCACATCCATCGTTAAAGGCCTGGAAATGAAAAGTGACATCTGCCTCAGTGGCATGGCACCAGCAACCCAGAGTCGCTCATTCTAGTTTATCCTGATGAGTTAAACAAGTCTACATGATGTTCTTTAGGCATTGTGGACAACTGTGAACAGCTGCATTTTCTCCGTCTCCAAGACCGCACCCACCAAGCTCCTAACTTATGTAGCCGTAAGTTTACAGCAGAATCAGTGTAAAGCTTGGCTCGGAGTACTACCCAGTGTTAACGCAGCAGAGCTGAATATAGGCCCAGACGACAGAAAGCACAGACAAAACCAGACGCTGGGCAGGTCACACATTTACGTGTGCCCCTGTTCTTGCCTTGGTGAGAGATTCTGCTGGTCTTGTCAAACACTGCCTAACTGGGCAGGATGACTTACTCTGCTCTCGTCTGGCACATAGAAGACCTAAGTGGCATTCTGCTGCAAGTTGGCATCACTCCTGTAGCCTTCGGAAGACTGCTTTCATTACAGAGCCTGCTTTCTCTTTTCCTGACTCCTCCTGAGGAACCCCCTCCCCCCACAATACAGAGCTCAAGTGTCCCTCAGCTTTCAGTGTCCCCGTGTGTACTGTGGCATATGTGTGATCAGAGGACAACCTGCAAGAGTCAGTTCAAATTTTCCAGCACCGTATGTGTTCTGGAGATCAAACGCAAGTGTGCTTGGCGCCAAGGACCTCTGCCTGGTTCCAGGTGCCTCATGGCTTCATGGCCTCGTGGCCAGGACTGTCTGCTTACCTTATCTCTCCAGAACTTTATATCATCCAGTTCCTGTTGTTTACACAGACTCTTTTCAGTAGGAGTACTTCTCTTTGAAATGTATCTGAAACCTGTCGAGAATTAGACCTCCTGTGCCCAGATGTGATACTGAGAGATGAGAAGGCCTGCGTTATTGTCCTCCTTGGAGGGGTAAAAGAAGTCTTGTGCACATTTGATTGTTCGGGTGTCCTCTATGCTAAGCAGACAGCATCACCCTTCAACGTGGTGACAGCTCCTGTGCTAAACTAGACTCCTGTGACTAGACCCTCTCATTCTAACCCCCAATGCAGACTTCTGTGTAGGTTTCTTCCAGGGCAGCCTGAGCTGGGCTACCCCAAAGCCAGGGATGACAAGTGTTTGGGGCCATATCTCCATCTAGGGCCCTGAGCTACTAGAGCACGTCCTATATTCTGTGCCTCCTCCTTCTGCCCTAATCAGGGCAAAAGAGACAGGCCCCAGGGACTCACAGAGCACTGGCTACCCATCCAAGACTGTTTATGTTTGATTACAGGATACCCACCAGGAAACTCTCCACTCCAAGGCCTGGAGAACTGTCTGAGAGAGATCCCTATCCCCAGGCCACAGGCTGCCTGGCCTTGCTCCTTGGCCGCAGACAGGGGATTGAAGAGAACAGAGCCCAGGAACTGGACTGCAGACAGAGAAGGTAACAAGGGGCACTTGTGGGTACCTGGGGGGAAGAGCAATCCCTGCTGCACTGTGGCTTTAGCAGCAGTGGAACAGCCCTCAAGCCAGATCTCAGCTGAGCTGAGAGGATGCTCTGGAGACAGGCCTGGGCAGAGGCCTGAAGGCAGAAAGTCAAGAGAGTCACTTCCCCTCGCATGCAGACTCTCGTAAATGAGCGATAGTCAGATCCCAGGGTGTGGATTCTCAGGGCCACCATCTGCTATTCCACTGACCCAGAGCTTTCTGACCAGATGTCTCTGTTGTGGCTGTGACACCCCCTGGTGCCATGTTGTCTGGGCACTGAGTTAGACACCTCCCGGGATTCCACGTAGCTTGGGTTGGGAGTAAAGAGATCCCAGGGGTTTGGGCTGGTGTAGTGACCAAGCAAGGTCATTGCCACACCCGAAACCTGTGTGCTAAAAGCCCGGCAGTGGAAGAAAGTCTGTCCATTCCGTGGCAGTATGAGGTCCCATAGGACTGTCAGAGCTCTTCTCATCTAAACAGGCCCGAGGGGTGAGGCCTGTGAGCCACCCCACTTTGGACAGGGTCGGGGAGACGTGCCCAGCAGGAGTCTCCGTCTGGGCAGTACACAGACCTGTCCCCCCACCTGCCACCAAGTGACTGCCAGGCCAGGAGTGTGGCAGTGGCCAAAAGATGGTGAGTTACTTCCAGAGTTTACACCATAGTTTCCCTCCAGTCAGTTTCTGCCAAGGCCTTAGCCTTGTCTTCTCTCTATTTTCCTATTCCTTTCCTACCTTTCTTCCCTTGCATAGAATATAGGAGTGGACAGAGCAGAGTGGGATGTTTGGTTTCCTTGTGGGGTATCTGCAGTGGAGACCCAGCCGGGATTGAGGGGCACCCCGGTACAGATTGTTGACTGTAGGCAGCTCCAACAGGACGGTTCTAGTCTAAAGGGGGTGGAATAATGGCTTAGCCCATCAGTGGCCTTCACTAAACTGCCAGCTCCTGCATAGTGCTGGGTAGAGGGTCTGCTAAGTTGAGGGTTACAGCCTACCCAATGGGAAGCACTGCCTAGTTTGCAAGACTCAGGACCTAACTGGAGCCTGACCAGGAGTAGCTTCTAGGGGCTTGGAGCTTGCAGCAAGTTCCCCAGCTCCCTTAGCCAGGGGCATGGCTAGCCTCTGGGTTTGCTTCTCTCTGCCCATGACCAGAAAGTAAGTTGTTCAGGGTCCACCAGAGCCTAAATGGGCTGCGGCCTAAGCAGAAAAAGATGCATCCTGAGTGCCTGGCCATCAAAACTGCTGTCAGGTAGTGGGCAGTGAACTCTTCTCTCCTCTGTTTAGAGACAGCCACCATGCCCTCCCCTCTACACTGCCTGGAGAGCTCTCTGAGGGGGATCCTGCCTGTGAGGCCCTTGCGGTTCACCTGCGTGACCGGTCCCGGCCCCGGCCCCAGCCCCAGCCCCTGTTCCAGCTCCAGCTTCAGCAGCTCTGATGAAGAACTAAGGCCAGAGCCTGCATTCTGGCAGCCACCCCTCCAGAGTGAGTCTGCTGGCATGGGTGTGGGAGGCGGCAGCGAGCTGGTCTTTGAAGTGCCTGGCAGTACTCTGATGCTAGCTTACTATGACCCAGAGAAAGACCACCTTCCCTCCGGTAAGGGTCCCGTCCCTCTGTGTCCTGTCTCGGGAGCATCCCCAAGAATCAGCCACGATAGCCGTCTTGCTGAAGAACCTGAGAGAACAGAGCCTGGAGACGGCGGCAGCACAGGTGAGCCTGGAGTCCCCCTAGATGGCAGCGCCGTTGGCCCAAAAGCCCAGACTTCATTCTCTGGTTTTATTGTCATTCATTGACTGTCATTAAAACATCCCCGTAATTTGTTGTACTTTAGATCCTGTGAGGGAAGCTGAACCAAGGGCTGTGTTCTGTAGGGAGGATCTTGGTAAACCACTGAATGATATGTACATAATCATAATGTCTACATATATGCCCAGCACATGCACACATGGATACACACACACACACACACACACCATATAGTTAGTATCCAATAACATTGGCAATCAAAAAAGAAATACCAGGTGATCTTTTCCAGTGGTAAAACACTTGTCCAGCATGCATGAGGCCCCCAACATCATACACACAGTGAGAATAGAACTTCTTGGAATTAGGCCAGAAGTCTAGAAATGACACCTGGTATTACAGCGACTTTACTCTCCACCTGAGCTATGACCCAGACTTTGTTCCTAACAGGAAAAGCAGAAGGGACAGGAGTCAAGTCCCAGTCACCCAGAAGAGAAGGGGCTGCAGAGCACACATGTCAGCCTGACCCTGCCAGCAGTGAAGAAGGAAAAGGAGGAGGTAGGAGCCAGGGAGTCATCTTGGGAGGCTGATCCACTCGCAGGCCTTGGGTACCACCTGTGCAGGACTCAGGATGAGCTGCCGTCCTCAAGTCACTGAAGATTTAGTAGGTCATGGCAGAGTGGGTTTCCCACATCCCACAGCAGGCCTGCCCAACAGCGTTAGGCTCCCAAAGCATCTTGCACCTGAGTCAATCATTATTTAAAAGTTTCACATTTGCCATTGGGATGAGGGTGGGGATGGATGCGTGTGGCCCAACACAATCTCCCCATGTTGGAGTAGCGCTGACAAAACAGTATTGTTCTTGTTCCAAGTGCTCTGTGCTCGCTCTGAAGCAGCATCCGGGCTCCCATGGCCTGCCTCTCAGCCGGAGAAAAGTCCTGAGCCCAAGGGTACTGAAGACTCCAGGGACCTCAAGCCTGGACATGAGCAACCCGATGCCACAGGTGAGCTGGTGGCTCCTCCAGCATTGGCTGTGCTTTAGTGGCCTCTGGAAAAGTCAAAAGCCGAGTCCCAGCCTCAAGAAATAAACATGTTCCTAATTCGTCATTTGGGTCATGGGTAAGAAAGTCTTACATTGGAGCCACTCAGGTACACGGTTCACTTTACCTCAGGGTTTCCATAAAAGCGCACAAGCTCGCCTTTTTAGAACAGTTGAGAAACATCTGGAGTCAAAGTTTGGGTTGAGAGAACTGAACCTCAGCACTGTCGAGTGACCTGGCTGAGGTCCTGCACAGAGCACAGGCTTCACATCACTTCGTTCCAGGGACCCACGGTGACAGCAGGCAGGGTAATGCACCTGTGTCCTGAGCCGTGCTTGGAAGGCGTCTGTGCCACATGTCCTTGCTGGCTTCTGTACCTGTGCTGGGCACCTTCGCCTGTGAGCTTTGGCTCCTCTGAGAACGCAAGGTTTTGTTAAGAGCCCTGGCTGCCTTCCCTCAGATGGAGCAACAAACCACATTTTTACTTTGTTTTGTTCTGTTTGTTAGTTTTTGTTCGAGGCAAGGTTTCGAAGGCTTTGTGTGAGACAGGTAACCCAGGCCACCTGGAACTTGTGATCCTCATGCCTCAATTTCAGATCCTTGCTTTAATTCGAGAACTTGGTGAGACAGGGTGTGGGTCCTTGGAGGCTTAGGCTGTTACCTGTCCTTCCCTGTCTGCAGCCCTAAAGGTACAGAAAAGACAAGGGCAGAGCCTTGGCTAGGGCTTAGCAAACATCAGGTTCCTCTTCCTTTCTGGGTTGAATGGGTGAAGAATGGTAGGGGCCTTGACCAACAAGCACCATTCTGACTGGGGTGACACCCACTCCAAGGGATGTGGGACTGAAGAATTGGACTTTTTTTTTTTTTTGGTGGGTGGGAAGAGGATTAAAATTGTCTGTAAGCCAGGCCTTATGGGGGCAGGATACTAGACACGCTAAAGAAGTCTCTGGGGCCAGAGAGAAGACCCTTGCAACCTAAACACTCTTCCCCGTCCTTTCTCTGGTTTTAGCCAGGACCCAAGGGAAGCTGCTCTCTGAGGACCCTCCGGAGCCACCTAGCAAGTCTCCCCTTCCCACGACAGCCTTGTCAAAATGGCCACCCACTTCTTTCCAGCCGCCATGCCCCTGCGGCAGATCCCTGCAGCAGGAGCTGCACAGCCTTGGTACTGCCCTCACGGACAGGCTGGACCAGCTTGCGGCAGCCTTGGCAGGCTTGACTCAGGAAGTGGCCACCATGAGGACCCGGATGGATCGGATGGAAAGGCGCCCACGGAGCCTTGGGCCAAAAGGCCAGGCTTCTGGGCAGTTGGCCCTCTCCCGGAGGCCTCGCTGGGCCAACAGACTGGACCACAGGCACCCACCCTACTGGAGGCAGAAGGGTGCCACCAGGCCCAGACCAAAGATCCTGCGGGCCCAGGCAGAAGGCCTCAAGACTGGTGACTGCCCAGGACTCTCTAGAGGGAAGGGCAGTTTGATGCCTCAGCTGCCTCCAGACGCTTCTTTGGTAGAATCTTCCAGGCCCACCTGTAGCTCATCCCAGCAGATCTCCTCAGCACCTGGAGGCCACAATGTGCTGGCTGCACAGCCCCTTCTGGAACACACTGGATGCCACCAGGATCCCCTCTCCCCTCCAGTGCCTACCGCCTTGGTCCCCCTCGTGGCCTCACCTGCAGCCAGTGCAGACCCAGAACCTCAGGCTGCTGGAGTGGCAGCAATCAGCACTCCAAATCAGCACAAGGAACCTAACAGCCTGCTAGGGGGAGCCCTCAGTAAAGACCTCTGGGAAGGTGACCACAGGGATCCAAGGTGGGGGACCCATTAACTGCGCTCTTTGTCCGCTCAGACTTGCTGGGTAGCCCGGATGCCCTGGCGGGATCCTCTGGGGTACAACCATCACAGGCTGCCTGCTTCCCAGGGGTTATATCTTCCTTACCTGCTCAGCCAGCCCTCTCATTGCTGCTGCAAGCCCGGCCCTTAGCCTCTGCTGTGCCAGGCCCCCGTGGTGTCTGCACAGAGCTACTGTAGCGGCATTCCTCGGCCATACCTCTGGCTTTCTCGGCTCAGGTTCAGTCAGCCAGCTGCTCTTCCTCCTCAGCAGAGCCCATCTGGGTTCCAAGAGGGTGCCATGCATACCACATATGTACAGAGCCGGCTGCAGAGGGCACTGTGAAGGCACCTTAATCCGATTGCCTGTTCCTGATCTCTAGGACACTGGAAGGCCAGCCTTGGTCTGTCTAGAGTGTATACTTCACAGATGTCATTTAGGGAAGAGCTGGCCTGTGGTCTAAGCTGAGTTGACCCACATGGATTCTAAAATTAAATATATTACCTGCTAAGAAAAGGCCATTGGCTTCTATGGAAGGGTTCCCAGAGGAGACGACATTCAGGCATGGTTGCCTGGATTGTCACCAGTACAATGGGAACTGGGCAGCTCATGTTTCCCTCTTCCACACACACACACACCTAAGAGGCTGGGGACAGAGCGCCACAGAGTCCCTTGGGGAAGAGTACTGCACATGAGTCAGTGTCACAGACTTAGTCTGGGCAGCTTAAATCAGGGGTCCCAAATCAAGGTCTCGTCAGGGTTGGTTCTACAGAGGACGTCCGGCTCCGCTGGGGGCTGCCTTCATGCTCCCATGGCATCTTCTATGAGTCTTTTCTCCAAGTGCCCCTCCCACCAGGACACAGGATGTTCTGGACGGCACTCCTTCTTGTTTGAACTTAACCTTCTCTAAAGACTCTAAGGAACGTCACATTCCGAAGTGCCAGGGGGCACGCGGCATGTCAGCCTTTCAACATTATGACAGTGTTGTCATCTAGGAAGTTCACGTTCAAGAACCAGACAGTTGAGATTAAAACAAACAAACACACAAACAAACAAATCTCATGTTTTAAATACATTTTCCCATCTGTGTTTGATTGCATGTGTAGCATTTTTCAGCTACATGACGGTTAGGTGGATTGCAGGTTGGATGTGCCTGTTAGCGCATAAACGGGGAGGAGGGTACCATCTAGCTCAGTACACCTGTGAGCTGGGCCAGTCTTGTGTTTGGACTGGCTGACTAGATGTCACTCCATCTGCTGCTGCGCTGGTGAGATGCTTGGCACTGTACCACAGCTGGCTACCTCATGTCCTTCGGAGTTGATCCGAATTCCTTTCGAACCTGAGGGCTTTTGGGAGCTGTGCCTATACCCACGGGAACTGCGAAGGCCAGAGCCTGAGCTGCCTGCCTAAGCTCAGGGTGGCATGACCGTGTCCATGACAACCATAAGCAGTCTGTTGTGGATGCTTTACCCTGTGACACTCTAATGTCACGGACTCTGGAGATATCCAAGACCTGAGTGCCCCTCAGGCAGCTAAGCCTGGGACTCGGTGAACGTGGCTTGGGCAGGCACAACAACAAAAGATCATTAACGTGTTTTAGAGCCATGTTTCTCAACCTGGGGGTTGCCACCCTGTCACATTACAATTCATAGCAGTAGTCAAATAACAGTTATGAGTAGCGATGAAATAATTTTATGGTTGGGGGTCACCACATGAACTATTAAAGGGTCATGGCATTAGGAAGATTCTCAAACTACTGATGTAGAGACTAAAGCACACCTCTAAGAAGTCTGCCTAGAATGTAATAACCCCGAGTGGGATGAGTCCAGCTCACTGCTTGCAGGTTGGAGTAGAAAACAAAGCCCTTCAGCCTCCACTTGTATCTCCAGGCTAGTGGGGCAACGCTGGTACTTCCAGTGCTAATGGGTAGCCCATAGACAGGTTCAGGGCGTGGAAAAGAAACATTCAAATTCATAATCCTACTTGGAAGACTTGGGTATTCTTAAGTTGATAAGACAGACTGGGGCCTGGGTGTGTGTGCATGTCCCCACACATGTCCCAGGCTAGGACAGCAACTTTGCCCTGTTTGAGCTCTCCTTTTCTTCTAAGAAAGAGACCATCTTGTCAGTCAATAAGAAGGGCTCGTAGTGATGTTCTGCATGGCACATCTGCCTTGCAGACAGCCAGCTCAAGCAAACAAACAGCAATACAGGGCTGAGTTGCCAGGGCCTATCATCAGGACAAATAGAAGCAGTCGGGACAAAGTTCAGTGTGCATGGTTCAGATCCAGTTGGACAGTGTAACAGGTTTAAAGAAAGCTTTTAGACAGGAACATGCACCGTGGAACCAGCTGAAGTCGTGTGGTGTCTGCTATGTTCACACGGCTGGAGGTCTCCAGGACCTGCTGCTGCTGCCTGTCACCTCTGACAACCAGAAAGCCTTCTGGAGTCACTGAGAACAGTTCCAGCACAGGCTCATTCTGGGACAAACTGTTTAAACTCAGTGCAGATCTACTGACCTGGGGGAGGGGAGGGACAGAGAGGATCTGTTCCCTACTGTTCTGGGAAGTGACCCTAGGCCACACATAGGTGGGGACCTTTTCTCCCATCACCCATGGGGCAGAAAAGTGGGAAGGTCCAGCTTACTGAGCTGGCTGATGGAAGGCAGGAGGAGGTAACCACAGAGACCATCCGTGACTTCCTACAGCACCCTGAGAGTCACTGTTCCACCTGAGGAGTGTCACCCACTAGTAATGTGCTTTAACTCTGGACTGGCTGATCTTTGGATTTTCCCTCATAATATACCTTGATAATTTCTGTTCTTAGAGGTCTTAGCCCACTTAGATGACATGTGTTACTGATATATTTACTTGCACACCTTTATATTTTGTGCTTTCAGAGTTTGGGGATGGTTGGCCAGATTTGATTCTTGTTTTCCTTCTTTCCTGTCATGTTTTGGATTGACTGTGGTGTATTTTTGTTGTCTTTAATTTTTTTTTTCATACTCCACTTCTCCCAATTTTATCTAGAAGGAAAAACATTTGAATTCACAGTCCTCTTTGGAAGATACAAATTAAGAAAGAAGCCAAAATTTTGAACAAGCATGACCCTCATGAATGTAAACACTGCAGGACCACTGTTTCCAAGAACATGCAGAACAATGCAGAAACTGACCTCATTGACTAAGCCCCAGAGCAAGTTTAAACAAATGTAAATGTATTGAAATCACATGGAATGTGTTCTCTGACCACAGTTTGTCTTCTTGACTACAGTCAAATAGCAAATTCCAGACATTTTTAGATATTCAAAAAGTAATGATTATACTATGAAAACTAATGCAAATGACTAGCCTGTGGTAAAATACCAATGCAAAAAGAAAGCACAAATAGCCTGTCTCGGGAATGAAAGAAGACATTACAGTACACGTTATGGACTGCAAAAGGTAACAATATGATGCAAGGAATTTTTTGCCAAGATCTTGAAAATTAAAGCACAAAACACATCACAAGCAGATAGAAAACCTAAGTAGTTTTATACCACTGAAAAAGGTGTACCATAAAACAACTTCCTTCAGAAGAAACCAGGGGTCTCATGGTTTGCCCAAAAGGTAGGAATAACCAAAGTAATCCAGCGAAATGGAGCTCTGGACTCCAGCTCAGTATGAGGCTACCTACCTCAACCTTAAAGCCAAGACTTGCTGACAATCCAGGAAGATGCCAGCACCAGCCTGAGTTCATCCAAGCTGACATCGCATCAGAAAGCCAACAACCAGTCATACTTTAGAAGGACAGAAAGTCATGATCGCAGTGGGTGTCTGTGAGATCCAAAACCAATGTTAACATCTGGAGGTCACCAGCGGTAATGCACTGCTGTCATAAACCGTAGGAGAAAAATCACACAATTAGTAGCTTCAGAAAGGATGACCATTTAAAGCTAGTGCACACCTTGAGACTGAGCACATGGAGGCGGGCCCAGTCTATATATTGAGTTCCTGCATAGCGAGTTCCAGGCCGGCCAGGGCTACACAGTGAGACCCTGTCTCGAAAACTAAAAGGAAAAGTAGGAAAGCACCTATAGAAGCTGTTGTATTTATCCATTTGTGCCACTGAAATGTATATTGTCCCTAAATGTAAATGTCACCTCCTCAGTTATGACCTCCCTGGCCGCTCTATTAAAACTGTAATGTGGCCCACAGCCCTCCTTATCCCTTCCCAGCTATATTTTCCTTGGAAGCATTAGCTGACGAAGTGCTATTATAATTACTCATATTTTGCTATTCCCTGAGTTCTTTATAGATTTATGTCACTTTGTCTACTACTGCTTCCTCAGCTGCTACTTCCACAGTACCTGACATACAACAGGTGTACAGTAAATATTTTACTTATTTTTATGTATATGTGCCCGTGTGGGTTTGTGTGCACCAGGTACATGTGTGCACTCTCAGGTACATGTGTGCACCCTCGGGTACATGTGTACACCCTCAGGTACATGTGTGCACCCTCAGAAGCCAGAGGAAGACCTTGGACCCCCTGGAAGTGCAGTTACAGGCAGTTGTGAGCTGGAAACCAAATCTAGTCCCCCACAAGAGCTGTGTTTTTAATTGCTTGCCATCTCCTGAGCCCTTACAATGAACATTCAAAATAAATCTAGTGCCTCTGAATAATGAAGAGTGAATCCATTAAATAAATCTTTTAATATTGAAGAAAAGGGTTGGAAAGATGGCTCAGTGGTTTTAGAGTATGCATTGTTGTTGCAAAGGACATGGGTTAGGTTCCTAGCACCCACATAACAGATCACAGCCATCTATAACTCCAGTTCCTGGGGGTCTGACACCCTTTTCTAGTCCCCATGGGCATAAGACTTACATGCGGTGCACAGAAATACATACAGTCAAACACTCAAACACATAAAAAGTTAAAAGTAATAGAAAAGTTGTGTATGGTGACACATATAGCTGTAAACCTAGCATTTCTGAGATGAGACAAGAGGATCAAGGGTTTAAGGTCTATCTTGATTACACAGAAAGTCCAAGGCTAGTGAGACCTCAGGTCAAAAAAGAAGGAAGGAAGGAAGGAAGGAAGGAAGGAAGGAAGGAAGGAAGGAAGGAAGGAAGGATGGAAAAAGCAAAAAAGAGGTGTACCACACAGAGCCCTGAAGAACCCAGGGTCTTCAGGTGTATAGCAGAAGCCAGTAGGGAAATCAGATGTATTAATTAGGCATGGAATATTCTTAGCAAGCAGGGGCTGTGGGGGGAAGGGGGGAAGAAGTATGAATTATCTGGAACCCATGACTCTTGATGAAGATGCTTTTATTAAATCTGTCAAGGATGTTAACAGAAACCACAGTTGTCCAACCTTCCCAAGAGTCTTTGTTTGCTCTTCTACAACTATGGTGACCCAAAGACATTACTGGGTATCCTGAGTGAACTCACAGGGGCTCTGTGAGATTATCTAGCACAAACTAAGTACCACAGCTATCAGGTACTATCATCCAGAGGATTACTCTACCCACACTTCCACACCCCTACCTCACCCCACACCCACACCCCTACCCCATCCCCACCACGAAGAAACCAGAGAAAATAAATTTCATGAAAGAAGAGACTTAACTTTTATCCTCAGTGAAGCATCTCATTATACAGTCTCAAGTGGCCTCAAACTTGCTGTTTCCCTGCCTCAGGCTCCTGAGTGCCAGGACTGCAGCCTGCAGTGTTATGCTTGGTCATAACTGTGACTTTTAATGCTCTACAGCACCTCAGGAACCCTTTAGATCAGCACAGTGAGGTCAGCTCTTTGAGAAAATGGAGTATCCTATACCAGTGCCCCAAGATGGCCTTCACAGTCCTGGGCTGGGTTCCTTGACTCTGCAGGCTGCCAAGGTGCGGTCTTGGTGGCACCCTTCCATAGATCTCTTCTCCCAATGTCCTCATCCTCTGTGCTGGCTGCCCTCCCGGTAAGTCGGCTTCTCCTCTCAGGTCGAAATCCCCTAACAGCTGACTGAGAGCTTTCTGTGCAAGCTTGATTACATCTGACACAGTTAAAAGTGGGCGTCCTT